AGTATTCTTAAAACAATTGTTGTTGATTTTTTTTTAAAGGTAATTTCGTTTTGTTTTTTGCAATCATTTTATATAATTTGTTTAATGAATGACTGACTTCAATTAACATTCTGCGCTGGATCTACTTCTCTAATCTTAATCATTTTTATAACAAATAAATACTCTATCTTTTGACTTTAAAATGAAACTTGAAAACTTTTTTCTTCTTCAAAAATATAGGATGTAATAGGAAGAAAAGTTTGGTTAGACATATCAGCTATAAATAAAGAGCCATTGGAATGAAATTGTTCATATAAAAAATCTGTAATTTTGGCCTACACCATTACTGGAGTAAAATAGTTTTAAACTTACTTTACTAAACCCTATGGTGTAAAAACAAAAAACATGGTGTAAAAAAACAAGAAAAGAAGAAGCTTATACAGGGGTGGTCAAAAGTATTTTCAGAAATTTTAATGTTAACTGTACTCATATTTTGAACTTATAATATAAACTTTTGGCACCTATAGAAAGAGCACTTCAATTCCGTTTAAATGTGAGCAAATTTTGTGAAAGTCAAATTTTCAACTTTTTTCCAGGGGTTTAAACAAAAAATGTTTTGATGCAAAGTTGTTTACCAATCAAAATTAATAATAACTGTAAAAAAAAATGTTTCCTTATATTTTTTATGATTTTTTGAATGGAGACATCTCAGTAAAATTTTGTATGAAAAGGAAGAAAAAGATGCTAAAATTGTCATTTTTAGCTATTTTTAAAAAATCATAAAAAATACAAGGAAAAATATTTTGAAATTTTTTTTTTTGCAGTTATTACTAATTTTGATTGGGGAACAACTTTGCATCAAAACATTTTTGTTTTAAGCCCCAGGAAAAAAGTTGAAAATTTGACTTTAAAAAAAAATTGCCTAATTTTCTAATGTTTCAAAGGGTGCTTAATGGGTTAAGAACATTTTTGATTCATTTAAACGGAAGTGAAGTGCTCTTTTCATATGTGCCAAAATGTTTATATTATAAGTTCAAAATATGAGTACAGTTAACATTCAAATTTGTGAAAATACTTTTGACTAGGGTTGTATACCCTTGCAGATTATTCTATTAATTTAAAAATCGCAAAAATGTCAAATTTCCTATTATTATACCCTTGCAGAGGGTATTATGATTTCAGTCAGAAGTTTGCAACGCAGTGAAGGAGACGTTTCCGACCCCATAAAGTATATATATTCTTGATCAGCATCACAAGACGAGTCGATCTAGCCATGTCCATTTGTCCGTCTGTCTGTTTCTACGCAAACTAGTCTCTCAGTTTTTGAGCTTTCGGGATAAAACTTTCCCAAAAGTCTTTTTTCTTAGGAAGGATCAAAAAAAAAAACGTAAAAAAATTCTAGCTCCGGTGTTTTTTGAAATTTTACCTTCTACTCTTGGAAATATTTTTTTTTATATATTTCTGAATTTCGGTTTTTTTGTTTTTTAAATTGGATCACTATATCATATAGCTACCATAGGAACGGTCGAAAAATTAAATGGAAATTAATGGGAAAAAAATTATAACTTTGTTGGTTTTTATTACATTCTCTTCTACTCTGGGATATGACTATTTTGAAATATTTCAGAATTTCGATTTTAATTTTTAAAAGATCGAACTACTATATCATATAGCTGTGATAGAAACGATCGAAAAATTAAAGTAAAATAATAGGAAATTTAACATTTTTGCGATTTGTAAATTAATAGAATGATCTGCAAGGGTATATAAGCTTCGGCTTGCCGAAGCTATAGCTTCCTTTCTTGTTTCACTTTAATTTTTCGATCGTTTCTATGGCAGCCATATGATATAGTATCTTTAAAATTAAAATCGAAATTTGGAAATATTTAAAAATAGTCATAACCCAGAGTAGAAGAGAATATAATAAATCAAGAAAGATATAATTTTATTCCTTATAATTTCCATTTAATTTTTCGACCGTTCCTTTGGCAGCTATATGATATAGTGATCCGATTTTTTAAATATTTAATTCGAAATTCAGAAATATATAAAAAATATTATTCCCAAGAGTAGAAGGTAATATTTTAAAAAACACCGAAGCTAGAATTTTTTTAACGTTTCCTTCCTATGGGAGCTATAAGATATAGTTGTCCGATCCGGTCGGTTCCGACATATATACTACCTGCAATAGAAAGAAGACTTTTGGGAAAGTTTCATCCCGATAGCTCAAAAGCTGAGAGACTGTGAAGGTAGTAAAAAAAACAATTTTAAAAATTCCAAAACAATTCACAAAAACCTTATGAGTGTCCTAAAAATTAAGGACATAAGGTGTCTTTGGATCAAAAATGCATTGTAGGAGAAAATATTTTTTTTAATTTTTAAACGGTTCACAAATAAGGATTTGTAAACTTTGCTGTGGCTTTAAAATCAAATAAAAACACCTCTTAACGAGGTAAAAAACTAGTGACGACCGCACCTTCAACATACAAAAGTTCTGATATCAACATTTGTGACGAAAAATTATTACACTCGTCATTAAATAGACTTTCTAATATTTTCTCATTCGGCCCGCCCTAGCAAACTATTCCAACCTTTTTCACTTCACAGGCATTTTCTATTGCAGCGTGCCGAATGAGAAAATATTAGAAAGTCTATTTAATGACGAGTGTAATAATTTTTCGTCACAAATGTTGATATCAGAACTTTTGTATGTTGAAGGTGCGGTCGTCACTAGTTTTTTACCTCGTTAAGAGGTGTTTTTATTTGATATCAGAAGTTTTTGTTTGTTTACTTTTGCTCTCATAGGAGCTAATATATACATTTAAATTTAAATTGGTCAATCATAATTTTTAAACTATTGTATTTTAACAAATTGAGTTAAAAAGGCGTTGAAGTATTTCAAAATACCTTTTAAACGAGGTATAGCACATGTCTGTACCTTTAGTAGTGTAGAACTTACAAACTAACGAAATTTAGCTATTTTTAGCTCTTTCCCGCTAAAGTAGCGGCTTTTTCCAAAAGTCGTAGAACAAAAGATTCCTATATGGAACTCTTAAGTGCAAATTTACTGATTCCATGACCCTAAAATACAGTTCGGATACCCTCCCACAAAATTCAATACTCAGGGAGCGTTAATTGTTCGAGCTGGCAACAGTGGCTATTTTCGTATAAAAATAACTATTAAACGTGACTTTTTACAGTAATGTGTTATATACCAAAATTTAAGGAATCTCAAGGGCTATACAGTTTAAGGTTTTAAAGAAAATCGTTAGAGCCGTTTTTGAGAAAAATAAAAAAAAGCTTAAAAAAAAGTTTTAAAAAATGGTCTTTTGTTCATATTTTTTTAACTATTACATTTACACAAATTGCATATAGAAGGCGTTTATAGCATTTCAAAATACCTTTCAAACGAGATGCAGCACAAGTCTGTAGCTTTAGTAGTATAGAAGTTACGGCTTTCCGAATTTTAGCTATTTATAGCTGTTTTCCCGCTAAACTAGCGAGTTTTTCCAAAAGTGGTAGAACAAAAGTTTTTTATATCGATGTGATGAACGTCATATCAAATTTTCAGAACTTAAAAAACATGTTTTGGACAAGTGGACAAGTGGACAAGTGGACAAACTGACAAACAGAATTAAATTTTCATTTTGGGAAGAAGAAGAAAATCTTATTTTGGCTATAACTTTTGAACGGAGCGTCGGATTTTGTCAAATGACCCCTCATTCGACGGGTATTTTCAAAAGGAATACAAGTAAATCATTGCGAGGGGGCATTTATCCCCACCGGCCCCAACAGCTCCAAATTTCTAAATTTTTACTTTTTCACTTTCACCGCTCTCTCTCCCAATCCAATTGATTTTCTTAAAGTCTTGGTATGCAATCCTTTAAGTTTTTGCAATACCTTTCGATTGGTGTATTACTCATTACGATCTGACTATCACAGCAGATTTTCATTTCTTCGTGTATATATAGTAGTCGCCTTCGCACACTCTCCTGGTGCGCTTCGTCACTACATGGACTGCCGTCCATAGTGATTTTGAATGCGCCCACCTTCTCTTGTGGTTCAGTTAGATTGAATTTTCCAAAACGACCTTATAAAAAAGACATGTAACTATTTATTTCCGAAAAGATTACCAAAATTGTTTGACCACTCTTGAAGATATATCCCAAATGACGAAGAAAATTTGTGATTTCCTTAAATTAAAGATATTGCAAATACCAGAGCTGATGGATTATAGGTTAAGAGGCAACTAAAAAAGAAAAGCCTCATTTATCGAAATAAAATGGTGGAAGGTGGACCCATGTCACATTTTGTCGGCCTGTGTTGTTTAATTTAATTTTATCAAAATCGAACTACTATATCGATCGGAAAATTAATGAGAAATAATAGGAAATTTAACATTTTTGCGATTTTTAAATTAATAGGAATGATCTGTAAGGGTATATAAGCTTCCTAGCTTCCTTTCTTGTTTGTTTTTCTAACTTTTCTGTATTATTAACGAGTAACGGGTATAAAAATGCGGCTCTAGCTCTTTGACGCGGAAGGCAACATTTATGTGAGTTTATTATTTTTTTACTGATTTCTACAATACTATTCTTCGTAAAAAATTCTGTGTTATCAAATTTTGGTTTTTCCGTCCTTAATAGCGTCTTGGGTCATTTTGCTTAGTTTGACTGCATTTTTGCTAATCGAGCTCTTGTTTGCGATGTAACCATGAGCGCAAGCAAAACTGCGACCATGACAAGTAATTGTACCTGCAGAAGTCATGAAAAATAAAAATAAAATGTTTAACCCTTATAACTTTTTGTTGGCAAATAAATGCACTATAAGTTTGGGACACATAAAAAAAAAGAAACTTCTTAGTTGCTTATCTAAAAACAATCTAAAACATAAACCATTTTAAAATTTTTCTTGCACTACAGCTCAACTTTATTTTTTTTTTTCAACTTACAATAACTACCTTAGTTTTAATCGGTTACACAATCATTTGAATCAGCTCCTTTACCACTTGCTGCTCTTGTCCTCCCACTTGCTGCTGGTATCCTGTTTCACATCTGCGTAGCTGGTGGCATGTCCATGTCCGTACTAGTGTCCATGTCCGTGGCTGTGCTCGAAGTGATCCGCATGTCCAACGTGCTTCACGGTTGCCTGGAATCCGTTGTGGGAGTCGGCGGTGTACTCAACGATTCGGGTACGACCATCGGCCTCCTTCATGGTGTAGCCTCCCTTGACCTTGTCCCCGTCTCGGGACTCCCACTGCTGCTTGATGTCTCCGGTCTTGGTGTCCTTCACCCCGTAGTCGAATTCGTACTTAGGGTGGTGTTTGGGCTCCTCGTGGTGACTCCACTGCTGGTGGCTGTCGTGCGAAGCCACTCGCGCCCACTGCTGGTGGTGATGATCCTGAACTGGCGCCCACGAGTTTACTTTCGGAGCCTCAGCCCATTGATGGTGATCCTGGTGGTGATCATGCCATTTCTTGGGAGCCTCGTGGTGCGTCTGGATGCTATATCCCACTCCGTGTCCGTGGTCATATCCACCGTAAGGGATATAACTGGCAACAGCCACACTCAAGAGGGAGCAGCAGAGGATGGCAAGTTTCTGAGCCATTCCAGTTTCTAATCGACTTGCTTGGCCTAAATCGCAATTGGAACTGTGATAGTCAGTAGACAACTCCCAATGCTTTTATAGTTAACCCATAGTACGAATTGATTAATAGCATTTACTTTCGAGGTTAATGAGCTGAAAAAATAAAAAGAGATCGGTAAGTGGGTAAGAAATCTATTTAATATTTTTGTAAAGGCTTACATTTTTTTTAATTCCATTTATTATTTTGTCGATTTGCTTATTAAATAAAGTTAACCTTGGATCCGCCCCTGAATTCATCAAAATCCTTGTGAAAATTACGATGCCAAGCCAATTCCCAAGAATACTCTGAAAATTACGTTTCAACACAAATAATATCCATAGGCATTCATCGTACATAAAACGATTAATTTTGTAACAAAGGGTACTTATACTTAGCATCGTGGTTTTTGATCATTTGCTCTTCTACAATAAGACAAAAAAGTCCTGAATTTAAATAAAGAAAAAAATGTATATGTTTCAGAAATGATTTTCTTAAAAATAAGATACAGACAAGGGTGACATAAAACCATTAACCGGCATATTTTCCGATTCCCCGATTTTTTTTATTTTCTTCTTTTTATTCCATTTTGAAATAACTAACCCGAAATAAAAGAAATGTTTTTTTCTGTTTTTTATAAATATTTTTTCTAAACTCTAAGGTATGGCTTTAAAAGTATGTTAAAAAATAAAATAACGGGCTTAAATTAAATTGGTAAAGAGTTACAAATTATAAAAGAATCCGCTTAATTTTATAGTCGGAAAAAAATGTATTTAGGTGTGTCCCTGAATACTCTAACAATCGAAAAACAAGAAAGGAAGCTAGCCTATACCCTTGCAGATCATTCCTATCAATAAACAAGTCGCAAAAATGTTTAATTTTCTATTATTTCTCATTAATTTTCCGATCGTTCCTATGGCAGCTATATGATATAGTAGTAGTAGTATATATAAAATTAAAACCGAAATTCGGAAATATTTAAAAAGAGTCATATTAGAGAGTAGAAGAATACAAGCAATCATTTTTATACCCGTTACTCGTAGAGTAAAACGGTATATTAGATTCGTGCAAAAGTATGTAACAGGTAAGAAGGAAGCGTTTCCGACCCTATAAACTGTGTATATTCTTGATCAGGATCACTAGCCGAGTCGATCTAGCCATGTCCGTCTGTCCGTCTGTCCGTCTGTCTGTCTGTATGAACGCTGAGATCTCGGAAACTACAAAAGCTAGAAGGTTGAGATTTTCCACGCATATTCTTCGGCTTCCTACGCAGCGCAAGTTTATTTTAGCCGAGTGCCACGCCCCCTCTAACGCCCACAATCGCCCACTAACGATTTTAAAATGTGTCTGGCGCCCACACCTTTTAAGATTTCCGAGAAGTATAAATGCAATTTTGTTGTGCATATTTATACCTATCGAAATGAAGAAGACATTTTTCAAATCGGACCATTCATTAAAAAGTTATACGCAATCAAAATTTCTATATCTATCTCCCGCGCACTCCCTTTAGCTGAGTTACGATTATTAGTCGGGACACCAACCCGAGTACAGCGTTCGCACTCCCTTTAGCTGAGTGACGGGTATTAGATAGTCGGGACACGAACCCGACTATAGCGTTATCTCTTGTTATACTCTTGTAGAGGGTTTTATAATTTCAGTCAGATGTTTGCAACGCAGTGAAGGAGACGTTTCCGACCGCATAAAGTATATATATTCTTGATCAGCACCAATAGCCGAGTCTATAATAATATAATATAATACCCTCTGCAAGGGTATAACAACGTTAAAATATAACGACATTTAACTTTATTGCGATTTGTAAATTATAAGGAATGATATGCAAGGGCCAGCCGAAGGTAACTTTCTTTCTTGGTTTTTATATATATACACAGAGAAAATTATACAACGTTTTAGGTGCCGTTTTCATATAAAAACGTTATAAAAATAAAAATGAAAACGTTTTAAAAATGCAAAGTAAAATAAATTTGTATGAAACGTTTTACTTTTTAAAATGTTTCACCCCTTATTTTGCACCTTAAACTTTTGATAATTTTCTCTGTTTAAAAACAAATTTTGTTTGATAAATTTTTCAACGAAATTATAAAGCCGTCACAGGTATAATCAAATAAAAACACCTCTAAACGAGGTAAAAAACTAGTGACGATCGCACCTTCAACGTACAAAAGTTCTGATATCAACTTTTGTGACGAAAAATGATTTTAGATGCGACTAAATAAGAACGCTACCTAAAATTTACTCGTTCTATTATTATTTTGAACGGAGCGTCGGATTTTATCATATGACCCCTTATTCGACGGGTATTTTCAATTGGAACACAACTAAAATATTGCGAGGGGGCATTTATTCCCACCGGCCCCAACAGCTCCAAATTTCGAAATTTTCACTTTTTCACTTTCACCGCTCTCTCTCCCAAGCCAATTGATTTTCTTAAAGTCTTGGTATGCAATCCTTTAAGTTTTTGCAATACCTTTCGATTGGTGTGTTACTCATTCCGATCGGACTATTATAGCAGATTTGCAATTTTGCGGCTATATAATAGTAGTCGCCTTCGCACACTCTCCTGATGCGCTTCGTCATTACATGGACTGCCGTCCATAGTGATTATAAAAGAAACTGCAGCCTGATACGGTTTAGGTTCGATTTCTCAATGTCAAGTTAAGGTTTAAGGTTTTTATCTGTTAGAGATACATGAAAATAAATTGGTTGGAATTAAAAAGCCGTTCTTGCATTTTAATGTTAGTTTTATTTGGAAAAAATTTTTAAATATATTTGAGAAGTCCTTATAAGGTTTTAAAGAAATGGTTTTAATAACACAATATGATTTTATCTGCGAGGGTATATAATCTACGTCTTTTCAAAGCAACCAAAAATGTCGTTTTATAAAATGTTAAATGTAAGAAAATACTGAGTACCCTTATTTATCATATTTTATCATTATAATTTTAATTTTTATTAAACAGTACTACTCAGATCATATGTTAAAACATACTTTATTACTACCAGATACTATTTTTGGAGATTATATTTTCATATTTACTGTTTTGAAAAAAGTTGTTAAATTCCTTTTATAAATGTTAGTTACAACAAAAATGACTGCTGTTTAAAAAATAATAATTTTTTTCGAAGAAAAGTGAATACGATGGACTTATTAGATTTCTCTGATTCATGTTCGCCGCAAAACTAAACTAATAGTTTCAAGTTTCCTTTATTAAATAGGTTGTACACCAAATCGTTACGTCCCTAATAATAATATCTATCCTTAATAATAATATCTAATATCTATCGAATCCAGAAGAACCCCAAATGTGTCCTCGCTCGATTTGATGAGTGTATTCAGATTGTGAAATCCAAAATGGGCCTTTTCTTGTTACCATTTGTTAAAATACCCTCTGAAGCTAAAACCATGATTCAGTCAAAGACAACACTCACTTGATTTCATATTTTATAGAATTTCCTAAATTTTGCTTTTTTTATTTGACTACAATTAAGGTCAAAGTCATTCGTTTCTATTTACATTAACTAGTCAGAATAAGTTGAACAATTGGATGGGTCAGCTCCTTTACCACTTGCTGCTCTTGTCCTCCCACTTGCTGCTGGTGTCCTGTTTCACATCCGCGTAGCTGGTGGCATGTCAATGTCCATGTCCGTACTCGTGTCCATGTCCGTGGCTGTGCTCGAAGTGATCGGCATGTCCAACGTGCTTCACGGTTGCCTGGAATCCATTGTGGGAGTCGGCGGTGTACTCAACGATCCGGGTACGACCATCGGCCTCCTTCATGGTGTAGCCTCCCTTGACCTTGTCCCCGTCTCGGGACTCCCACTGCTGCTTGATGTCTCCGGTCTTGGTGTCCTTCACCCCGTAGTCGAATTCGTACTTAGGGTGGTGTTTGGGCTCCTCGTGGTGACTCCACTGCTGGTGGCTGTCGTGCGAAGCCACTGGCGCCCACTGCTGGTGGTGATGATCCTGAACTGCCCATTGATGGTGATCCTGGTGGTGATCATGCCATTTCTTGGGAGCCTCGTGGTGCGTCTGGATGCTATATCCCACTCCGTGTCCGTGGTCATATCCACCGTGAGGGATATAACTGGCAGCAGCCACACTCAAGAGTGCGCAGCAGAGAATGGTTATTTTCTGAGCCATTTTAGTTGGTTGCTGATTGACTTGCTTCGCCAAAATTAGAATGAATACTGAGGTAATCAGTAGTCAGTGCCCATTGCTTTTATACCTCAGCCCATTTATGTGATCTCGAGGTTAATTGGTTCAAAAAAAGAAGGAGACCGTAAAATAGGTATGAAAAATTGTTCAAATTTTAGATAAACATTTCATTTTCAACATTCATTATCATATTTTGTCGAAAGGCAAATTAAAAGTTGGATCATGCATAACTTAACTAAGGAAACCTAATGATATATTCTATATTGATTTTTCAATACCCACGAATTCTTTAAAACCAGAGGATATGTTTTTGTGGATCATACATCTGTAACTTAACTTTACTAAATAAACTTATAAATAATTGGCAAACTCGCGGCCTTATTTGCAGTCTAGAACAGGTTACTTAAAGCCCAACCCGAACCGACCAGTAAATTTGTAAATTGACTCATTTACCCAAATACCCAAATCCAAACGAGCCAAGTCAAATGGGTTTCAAGTAGGTCGGTTGGGTTTAAGGTTTGACAATCAAGTCAGGTTACTTGTGCAGGGCTCTAGTTCTAATGTCAAACAACAAATAGACGACTACATCAAAAACAGTCAACTGAATTGTGTCAAACAATCCACTGACTACACTATCGATAGCTTTGCAGCTCTAAGCTGATCGAAAGGTTTAGTTTAAACATCAATATGGCAAATCAGAGTTTAAAGCTTCTTTTAAATTTAACAGGTGGACGAAAAAACGTGCCTAAGGAAAAAAATATTTTTTTAAGTTGTTGTAGGGCGCTTGTCGTTAGACATTTTCCCCAT